TATCCAGGAGTGCCCTATTATTTGCTAAGAGTTTCTACAACAGTTCCTGAAATGGAAGTTGAATTCTGCAAAATATTCCCTACAACTTTAATTAGTATTTTCCTCTTTTGAGTTTCTGTTTCTTTTATTGTTTCCCATTCATTGTGGCCAGAACATTTACTGATATATTACCCCTTGAATAATCAGTTCCTGTTCCCTGTGGGAAAAACAGAGATAACTATTTTGCCTATAGTTAGGGCACTTGAACGTCATCATGGTATAGCACTGATGATGTGAGTTGCAGCTCATGAAAGCTTCTGCCTTTTGAAAAAAATCTGTTAGTCGGAAAAGATGCTAGCAGACTCCTTCTGAGTGTTAAGCCACCGTAGACTAACACAGCTGTCTCCTATAACATGATACACTGCTATAAATCAGTAGTCTATAGTATATAATACCATTGCGTGTGAACTATCAATCCAGCATCATTGGATAGAGGATTAAATCTATTTGCCCAGTCATAAAGGCATTCTTTTCATCTTGAAAATATTCATAGAGGAGAATTTTAGCTGCAACTTAAGTGCAGTCAAGATTTCAAGATTTTTCTTTGGTGTGCTTGTTTTTCTACAGAACCCTCATTTCCAGCTCAGGGGGGAGGAAGGGGGAGAAATGGCAAAGTGCCTTTAGGCCCCCAGGGAAAAAGGCAGCGCAGGGTTAGTGTTTCTGAAAATGTCTGTTTATTTTTTCCCGTAGCCTTTTCTGAAGGCTCAGGAGACTTATCAGAGCCAGACCAAGGGGTGACCCCATCTTCCCAAGACATTTCACCTCTTGGCTCGGTGGCGGAAATATGGAAGGAGGATGGGTGCCAAGTCTCAGTGTTTGACCTCCGCCTTCAGCCTTTCCACTTCCTCCTTCTGAGGACCCGAAGCAATATATCCAGGGCCTGGACAGAATTACACCCTTTTTTGCATGGCTTGTTCACAGTGCCCTCTCCTGCCTCTACAGGGTCCAACTCTGAGCCACCAAAAATGCCCCGCTCTGGCTCCCCACGCCCCCCTGAGTCTTGCCTCTAGGTACCACTTCTACCTCTTAAGGTTTTCCTCCCGATCATCCAGGATCCATTCATTTTCCACCTGATTCATACCTTGTGATCCAGAGTCTGGGTGCTGGGGATCTGGCAAACCTACTCAAGATATGAGCGTCCATGGAAGTTGGGGGGGCACAGGGCTCATTCCCAACAAAACAGCAGAGCCTTCTCCTGGGGAAAGACTGAATAAGTCGAGCTCCCGCCCCAGATTACCCAGCGCCATCGACTTATTCCGTCTTTCCCCAAGGGGAGGCTCTGCTGTTTTGTTGGGAATGACTTTTGGATGCAAATTTGAATCCAGAAGCTACAATCCAGTACAGAGCTTGGCGGATGAAGATTGCCAGGTGTTATGAAGCCACCCCACCCCAGCAGGGTCAAAGAATTACAAAGACTTCAATAAAGTGTTTTATTACAAGGATTAAAAGGAAACCGCACAGTCTTAGCAACTGGGATAGAAACCTCCAGAACTACAAATGCAACTGAGATTTTTTTCAGTTCTTGTTCACAGGAGGCACCTGTCCTGCAAACCTGCTGTTTTGATGGCTTTTCTCTTCCCTGTTCTGGCCAGTTTTCTCCACCCTTTTTCCAAAACAGGCCTGGGTAACCGACCCTGTTCAGCTCAGAAAGGTGTTCCTGAGTCTGCACTTGCTTCCAGCTGCTGGAAATTTCTTTAGACTGGGGGAGAAGAGCCCTGCTTCTCAGGCTGGGCAGTGAAAGAGTCTCCCAATTCATCCGAAAAGTACAGTATTACGTTTTCAGGAGGTGATCAACAAGCCAAAAAAATAACCTAGCCACGTCATGGTAGAGACTATCCAAAGATTTAGGATGTCTTGGGCCTATGAAGCCATCATCACCTTCACCATCATTGCCATCACCACCACCACCTTCATCATTGTTGTCATCGTCATTATCACCATCCCATATATGAACCTCTCCATCTTCTGCCTGGGAGAGTCATCCACTCAGCTTAACGGTAGGGCCGGCCTTGACAATCTGGAACAGGCTTTATGACTCCCTTATGCTTCATCCTTACCAACTTTTCCATCATTTTGGGTCTGATCTGCAGGTTGCTTGGGCCCTATAAACCCCACCCAGCTTGGACCATCTTACTAAAGGAAGCCCTTCCCCATCGCTCACGAAACCTGGGTCTCCTCCAAGCCCTTCCAACCTGAAAG